AAAACATGACATTAAGAGTAGAAAGAAGGGAGGGGACATCCAAAGATTTCTTCCCCTCAGCCTCATCCCCTAACAGTGGAGGTTCTCCTGCTTCTGAGCTCTCTTTTCTCTAGTCCAATCCCCCAATCAAGGGCTATCTCTATATTCCTTCCCTGGGCTGGGTCTTAAAGCACCAGCCATCCGGTATCTTCCACTTTGTTCACTTTTAATTTCTGAAGCAAAAATGAAGGTCGCTACCTTTCTCAGTGCCTAGCTGAAAGCCCTAAAAGTCTCTCTCAGAATCATCCCAGCTTCTCTCATTCTCATTTCACCCTAGCACTTAATCCACGAGGAAGTGTCCTTTTAGGAAGGGCTCCTAGGGAATCTGTTTTCAGAACTCTGGAAGAGACTCAGCCCCTGAAGCCTGCAGCAGCCCAGCTTCCCCAGAGCAAGCTGTATTCTGAGATCCTGGCACTAGGGGGCAGTGTTCACCCACTGGTGTGATGGCGCAGCCTGCATCTAAGCCTATGGTAAAGGCGGCTAGACATAAACTTTGGCTCCATGGAGTTTTCTCAGGTGAATTTAAAACAAGTCATTTGATCTTTCTGAATATCTGCCTCTTATATAGTCCCAAAGTTGTTCTGTACCTGTGTGGCCAAAAAAACTGTTTATTTGAAGATTTAAGGAGATTTGTTTTTTAATCCAGTAATCTTTATTTATATATAACAACAGTACAAATTGTGTCCTTGGCTTGCAAAATAGGAGTTTCATATTTACAATAGGTACATGATAATATATTAGATAACAAAACCCCGCTTTATTGGAACATTTTAAATACTTCATTTTATTATTATTTTGTAACACCTGTAAAAACAACAAAACCAGACAACCAGCATTGTACTTTCTTAAAAATAGATATAATACAGATTCCAGTGTGTCATGGGGAGGGGTCTGAGTAGGAGGGGATGAGGAGAGGCAGCTGGGCTCAAGGCCTTCATGTGCCTGTACAGAGCTTGTCCCTTTCTCTCCCATACATTCAGGAATGTTGGTCCTGTTTGGGGGGACCACACTTCCTTATGCTTGGATACCAAAATGACACTGACTGAGTTCTAGAAGAAGCTTCTCACTTCCTTCACTGGGGCCCTAGGCAGAAAGGAGGCGGGGAGGAGGCAGCTCAGTCTGGGGAGATGGTCTGTGAAGGCAGGAGGATCTCTAGTTTCCTTATTGGGTTGAGGCCTGTCTGACAGGCACTGGCTTTGATCACCTCTCAGGACATTCCCTGGATTAGTTAGAAAGTGCCAAAAGAAACTTTACCCTTCATTATAAGCATCACTGGGCATCAGATGCTAAATCTTCACTCTAGGGAACGAGCAGAAAAGATAGAAGAAAAGGAGATGTGGAGTTATGAATATGATGCCATTGTCTTCTCCAAGAACTCTCCTGAGACAAGGCATCAGGAGGACCTGACCATCTTCTCCCAGGCCCCCTCCCATCATAAGATCTTCCCCATGCCCTGACTCCCTGAAGCCACCTTACATTCCCTCAGGTTCACAGCCCTCTGTGTCTCAATTCTCCCCTGCCTGTGTCCAGGCTGCAGGACTTTTAATAATGATGCAATGCAGTTGAAACCCTTTTTAGAGTAGCTGCTGGCTTAGTATTACCAAGCAGCACGTGAGATTTCAGATGTGGTAGTTGTGCAGTATCTGTAACCGGGCAGCTAGGAGCTTCTAGACTTCTCTCTCTGTTTGTAGCAGATGACTACTTGCACAACCACCATAGCTTCTGTCTCACAATCAGGAGGACCAGGGGCCTGAACTACTAATTTTTACCCTCATTTTGATGGAACTGAAAGGACAGGAGCTTAAGCAACAGAGTTGTGTTGACTAAAGAGCTGGTAGAAAAGAGAGCAGATCTCACTGCTAGAAGGCCTGAAGCCAGCATGAGGTAAGGTGTCTGGGTGGGTCAGTCTTTTTCCTTCACAGCACCTCATTTTCTATGCACCTGGCGCTTTCTTCTGTGGCAGGTGGGAGGAACAATCCTGCTGTACTGGTGGCAGAACTAGCAGCGTGGAGAAGATGAATTTGCTGGAAGAAGGACCTTTTTGGTTTTATTCACCCTCCTTTCCAGAACCTCTAGAACCTGGCAGATGATTACTACTTATGAACTGTCTCCAAATGAATGAACACAGGACACAGTTCCCTCCTTCTGTGAGATCACAGGGTGCCCATGACTTGAATGGTTGCACTCTGTAAAAGAGAGGGGGATCAGAAGTGGTTTTGAGAGTCAAACCACAGAAAGAGGTAGAACATCAGACACAGGAGTGACTGACCCACACAGAAGGCAGGAGGTAGTGCCAGGACTTCTCCATTCAGTCCTCTAGAATTCTGTCTTGCCAAGACCTCTACAGTCCTGTTCCATTCCTAGAGAATTGGCTTTTGTGTTGATCAATGAGATAAAGTAAAGCTAGGCAGGCTTGAGAGAGACTTCGTGCCTCCCCTAAAGATAAATGGCTTCTTGTGGGGAAGGGTTGTAGCTTTAATATTTTTTTTTCTTTTTAAACAAAAGGCCAAAATATCCTCAGGTTGTATAGTAGCAAGAAGAGTGACCAAGCAAATCCCCTCTCCTCTCCATTCCCTAGGGAGTAGACTCTGTCAGTTACTCATGAACCAAAGTAAAGAGCCAACAGAAGGACAGGAAAAGCTAGAATGGAAACGAGACTCTGCAACCACTCACCCTCTTGGCAGGCCTGTCTCCAGCTGAATTTTCCTTCTTAACTCTCCCTTAACCAGGCCCTTTGGCCACTTCTCTTCTCAGCCCAAGTTGTTTAACTCATGGAATCTTTAGTAAAGTGGTTGAACCACCTTTCGTGGCTGGCCCTGCTCCCTGCATCTGCACTCTTTGATTTGCTCTCTCTCTCCATCATTCTCCCCATTCTCTCCAAACATCTTCAGTGAAGCACACCAGAGGCAGAGAGCGGGTACCATAAATGGCTGCTGGGAGATTCCAGGTAGGCACACTGAGGAAGGTTTGGGTGCTACTGAAAAGAGATGTCAAACATTTTGGTTTTTTTACTTCTTAATGAAATAGCACTCTGGACATCGGCCTGAGCAGTAGCAGCTGCTCAGGAAGCCTTCAACAAAACTGGAATGGAAAACAAGGTGGGCTGGAGTTTGTCCTGGGCAGCGCAGTCTTCTGTTCATATTCTTGTTTTGACGACATCACTTCTTTCATTTTCAAAAATTACAGGCTCTAAGATGATAAACTTTGGGTGCTGTGAAGAGCAAACACTTTGGCTTAGTGTGGAAGGCCAGTCACTAGTATTTTTTCCAGGCTATTAATATGACCCTGAAAAACTTTTAACATGAGTAGATTATCAAAAGCAAAGTGGCCTTGGCATGGCTGGTTGTGAATCATCATAAAATCAGCAAATTTCCTGAGTATTTTGCTGAATGCTTTTCTCTCTTCCTTGTCTGATACATTCAGACAAGAAACAAGCTGAACAGCCCAGACAGCATCTGCTATGCGTGAGACAGCCATCCGAAGACATATACATGGACTGGAAGCCACCTTCTTGTCTTCCTTCCCTGCCCTGTGCTGGGAGTCACATCTGGTCAGCAGAATCTCAGAAACTGGAGTTAACTGGAGGTCTAAGTTGAGGCCTGGGTTAATTGTGAAGGAAATAACCCTGGTCTGTTCTCTCTCAGGGTAGCTGGCTCATTTCCCAGCCCTATAACCTGGCATTGCTTACCTCTCAAAAAGCACAAGGCAAGAATGGGACAGCTCTTCGGCTTTTCCCCGTGCCAACCCTTGGCCTTCCTCTTGTCCTTCTACCTTGAGACAGGTGCTACTTGCAAAGCTGTTGGAATTGGCTGCTTGGGATCACCACAAGGCAGGAGGACTGAATTCCCTGAGGGCTAACCAGTTGGGCTAACCAGCTGAAATGTCCTGCTACTACAGATCTTGCCTCTGGGCCCGAGAATGGAGCCTTGGCCTCTGCTTGGAAGATAAACTCAGGAAATCTGGCCATCTATGGCATTCGGTATCAGGAGACAGAGGGACAGACGGGTGCCCTCACAGGAAGCAATCCACTTTCACATCCATGGGTCCATGACAGACAGAGATGGCAGAGATGATGGGATGCCACAGTCATTTCTACCGAGGCAAATGCACTGTGCCCAGATGGTCAGGAGCTTCTGGATATGAGTGAAGGTTGGCCTCCCCTCTCCAGGCACAAGAGAAAAGAAAGTATAATAATAAATACTGCTGCTTCTTAAACCTATACTCTTCAAGTATTGCTTACTGTAAACAGTATTTGAGTTTGTTTTCTTTTTAATTGCCGTAAACTGGTAGATGGTTGAGTGAAATCCAAAGTCAAACACCCATGTCCCCCATTCAGCTCAGACTGAGAAGGCCTGGTCTGTACAGTCCCTGTGTGCCTGTCTTACGACAGAGGCTGACATGGGGCTCTGCTCAGAGTCCTCAGGGAGGAGGTGGCTGGTCTGGGAGAGGTGGGCCTCTCCCATTTTTGATATCAACTCTAGGGAAACCAAAAAGGAAAAGTACCAGAGACCAACTCTCATTCATGGAGGTTTGGAATTTTATGAAACCAACAAAAGATGTTCCCACAGGTTGTGGGTCCTCGGTTGGTACCTTCCTCCTCTCAGGAGATGAGGATACACAAGGGTGCAGTATGGATCGCAGTTATCTGTTAGCCAGGTGGAGATGATCAACTTTCACAATTACCACAAGGGCCTGTAGTTCCCAGGCGCTTCTGGCTGTGGTAGGATCCAGGCGTTCCTGGCCTGTTTGCCAAATGTTTAGCACAAACTTGGGCTCCTTCCTCCCTCTCCTCCTTTTTCTTTCAGTTCAAGGGAGAGGAGAACATTTCCATACAGGTTTCTTTCAGCATCTCTCAGGCATTTTCTGACGTTGTGAAAGAGATGTTACAAAAGGAGGGAGAGATGTTACCGAGAAGAGGACAGAAATCAGATTAAACAAAAGTTGGACGGGTTGGACAGGGAGGCTTTATGTTTTGTTTTATTTCTGTTTTTCCCTTTTTCTTAAAAAAATTAAATAAGTTCTCATTATTTCCCAATATACATCAAATGAGTTTTCATGCAAAGCAGCAGTCACAGAGGCGGAACCACCGGGTTCAAGCCTCTCACTTGAAGGGCACCTTCCTTGCCCGTGCTGTCCTGAGCTCACACTGTGATGGGTGGTGTTTGCTGTCCTGGAAGGAACTGGCTATGACGAAACACGTCTGGCACTGAGAGCGGAGCCTTTCCCTTTCCCCTCATGAGCTTTCAGTGGGCAGCCAGCTCTGGGGCCTGATACCCCTCTCTCGTCCTATCTTCCCTTTGGAGACACCAGTGTGATCGCTTGTATGGGTCCCTCTTCCAGAAACAGGAGGTCCTCCTTTCAGCTCTCGATGGACATGGCATTGATGAGATGCTCCACCTTGTAGGCTAGCCGCTGCCGCCGGGCCTGCTCATCCTGCTCTAGTGCCCCGATGAGCTGAGGGGCAAAACAAAGGCAGATGATTCAAGACTCAGCTTCAAAGGCACAACTTTCTGGAGTCATCAACCCAGCACCTATCCCTCTATCTTTCTATTCTGCCTTTAGGATTGTAATGTCAATTAGTTGGCATGATTAAATGAGGAGATCTATGCACAGTTGTTTATTTAACCGTAAGGACACTTTCTGAGAAGAGAGTCCTTACATGATTCTGTCAGCAGGAAGAAACAGCCCAGAGTACACACACGAGGACACTGAATCACGCACAAGAGAACATATATGCAATGTGTGGATCTGCTTTTATAAGTAGGAGCATGCTCTAAAACAGCAATAAAAGCATAGCATAGTAAACACAGTTTATGCACTAGTTACACAATTACTTACTTCTAAGAGCACAGACTGTGCCTAGTTTTGTAAGCTGCATAACCAATAGCTTGGTAGATTCTTTTACACAGCGTGGCCATAGGCTCACGTGTGCTATGAGGTTTGGATGGCTCTGAGGTCACATGGGAATTTTTCAGCTCCTTTTACGCTGGTGGGACCACTGTTATGTGGGTGGCATGCCACAAAATCATCATGCAGAACACACATCTACAGACACATGCAGGAATATACGTGTGTACATAGAGTTCTAATGCTCTTAAAGCATACATAAGAGCTACTTAAGTGTGGGCTACTATTATCTTGCTACTTCTTTCTTTAGCTTCAGTGCTAATGCATGGCTTGTCTCCTTTCTGGTTAACTTCTGTTCAGGTCAAAGCCCACCAGTCTATCTGAAAAATGACAGGCAGGATGTGCCCAAGTATAAATGGATAATTCTATTCATTATTAAAAAAGAATAAAATTAGTTATATAAAAATTGAGTGAGTAAAGACAATGTACAGGGAGGAATTCATTGAAGCAGAAGAGGTTGGGTTTTCTTGTAAAGAAAAGATGATGACTTGGGGCTCAATGACTATGGCTACGGATTGTGATTTTTAAAAAGTGTCTCCCACTGTTGTTGTTTCAGGCCTCAACCAAGCTGTGAGTTGGTCTCTGACTTAGAGACCCTGTCTTACCTCTTCACTGTACTTGCTGACATAGGAGTAGATCTCGTTGAGGGCGCTCAGCATATTGAACTCTGTGGCGTGCAGGCGGGACTGCTCCGCGAGGTAGGCATTCATATCTTGGTCACTAATGGCTGGGAGCTTGGCAATATCTGCATAGTATCTGCCATGGACAGGACAGGTCCATAATGCGGGTTTAGCAAATCCACCAATACCCACCCTGACCCAGGTCAGGAGAACCAGGGGTCCCCACTGCTTCTGCTTTCCATCTCTTCTCTGGTGTGGTCTCTGCCTCAGGCTGAAGTTTAAGTTTAAAGTGCAGTCCAAGTTTCTACAGGATGCTCCAGTCAGCTAAGAGCTACTGTGCTCTGAGCAGTTAAGAGCCCAGACCCTGGCATGATTCCTTGTGTTCACATCTCAGCTCTTCTATCTGCTAGCTGGTGAACTTGGGCTTGGTTAACAGGGCTTCTTTTGTGCCTGCATTCCCTCATTAGCAAAACAGGGATTATTATAGCAGGTATTTTACAACTGTCTATTTGGACATTTCAGTGAAGCAACATACAAAATCCTTATCACAGTAATTCTTGCATGCTCAGTAAATGTTAATTAGGATGATAACTATCAGACTTCCCGGGACACAAAGCCTTCCTACAATATAGAGGGAATGAGGTCTTGGTCTTCAGTGGTCATGAACAGTCCTGGTCTTCAGAGGTGTCTTAGATGCCTTTGAAGTGTGTATCTTAGGAGAAATACTGACCTTTCTACCCAGTTCTTGTAACTGGGGATATCCTTGGCATAGAGCAACTTATTGGAAGGTGAGTCCTTGCCCAGTCGGTGCTCTGATGTGGAACAGGAGTCCATGAAGGTCTGGGCTACCACAGAGAGGCAAGCATCTGTGATGCTGCCCTTGTGGATGTCAAACACGAACTGGGGGTTTTTGATGACATTCACCCAGAAACGCAGAGGGAGGCTGTGGGAAAAGGCAGAGTACCGTGAAGGATATACTTTGACATTGCCCCTTACTAATATTCTTTCCCTACTTCTGAATGGTAGGGCAGATGTTCTGTTCTAAAAGAGAAGGGAATGAACTCAGGAACTAGCCCAGCAGGGGCTGGTTGCTCAGCTTATGCTGTTCCTGGCAGCAGAAGCAAACAGAGAGACTTTGCTCTTGTCATACCAGAGCATTAGCTCTGCTCCCTAATAGCTGAGGGGTGGGTGTGTCTGGGCTCTGCTTCTTCTTGACAGACTTTTTCCAAGGCCTCAGCGCTCCAGGGAAGGTCAACCACAGAGAGCAACACAATTTTCTCAGGGCTTCAGACAAAGCCAGCAAGCTCCTAGAGCATCTCACGTGGAAGTGGGCAAGCAGTCCCAAGCACTGCCTCAGTGGGAGCATGACCTATCCTCTGGATCCAGTGGGCTACCAAGCCACTTCCTAGGCCTGGGTCATAGGACAGGTTTCTCAAGGGGAGATTTCTTTCAGTGGCCCCCTCCAGGGCTTTCTGCATCTGGGCATGGCAGAGGGAAGGGAATGTTTTGGGCATCCTAGGAGAGAATGGCTCATGGTGGCCCTGAGTTTTTCCCAAAAGGAACCTAACAGCAGTTGGGAGATTGCTTCTGAGGCTCTGAAATCTAAAGGCAGAGAAGAATAGGCTTTGCTGTTCCTGAGGTCATAAGGCAGTAAGCACATTGCCCTCCTTCAAAACCAGGACAGCTTCTATAGCTACTATTTTGGCTCTTTCCAAAGTCTGTCTTTTCCAGCTACGTTCCAGCCTTGACTGATGCCTGTGTGGCATGAACTCTGTCACGGGCATGAACTTCCAGCCTAAGATACTGCCCTTGGGTCTCCCTATTCTTTTCTTTACACTATGCTGACTTCACTACCTCCACACTTTCCAAGAGTCTTTCTAATGCTAGGTGTTGGGAATGTCAGTGTTGGTCTCCTCCCAAGTCTCTATAATTTTTGCTTGTCCTCAACCTACAATCCTTTCTTGAAACCTAGGAGGAGATGCCTCAGCCAGCATTGGCACAGTTCTTCTGTCCTGTCCTCCTCTGGTAGTGCTGGACATTTCTAAGCTCTTTTGCTTGGACCTTTACTATGTGAAGTGTGAGCCATGTGACTCAGCTTTATCACACTATCATATTGGGGGAGGAGGGTACACTACTGTTGCTTGAGCCTAGCCAGAAGGCACAGAGAAAGGAATAACCTTCAGCTGATTGTCCCCAAACTGCCATTCCCGTACTGTGCTGAGCTACAAAGCTGAGGAGATGTCATGGACCTGCCTTGTAGAGCTTCCTGCATGTTCTTTATTTACCGCCATGGAACCTCTCTATGTCACTCCACTGTGACCAAAGAGTGCACATGAGGAGGATCCAGTGGCCACAACACCAAGAGAATGAAGGTCTATTCCAAGGCCCCATTGGCTCTTTCAAAGTATTTTGCTGGTTGCTAGGACTTTTGATTTCCAAATAACAGCCTGAGTCCATCTGTGTCGGCTCTGTTTTCTGGGGATTGCTGACTCTAGACAGCTGCATGGGCTTCCTGCCCAATCCAAATGCCTTCCCCTTTGTGCTCAGTCCTAGAGGAAGCCTTTTGAAACTGGCTCTTTCTGGTCTATAAGCTAGTCCTTAGCACGGTCTGTGCTCCAGGCTCAAAACCTGGGGTAGGGGGTTCATGCTAGTGGCTATCAGGCTTCTCCCACTACTAATTTGGATGTGGAAGTGTCTTAAACAAGAATCATGTCTTCAAGACATTCTTTCTGTTGCTTCCTGAGAGCTATGCTGCTTGGATAAAAATTTGGCATCCTTGGTGACAATGTTGACTCTGCAGTGTGCGTGTGTGTGTGTGTGTGTGTGCATGTGTGCGTGTGTTACATGTGCTGTGTTGCAGATCACCCAGCCCCAGCTGAGACTCAGCCACCTCCCATCTCTATTCTCTGCTGGTCCCAACACCCAGCGTGCCGGGCCTCCCCAGGTGGTACCCCCACTGAGCTCTCCTGGGGTTACCAGTTGCTTTTCCAGGTGTGCCGCACATCCGTGTCATGGATACTGTGTCTGTCTGCCTGCTCATCCAGGAAATCAAACATGTACTTGATGGCTAGCGGGAGCGCGCTCCCCCGGTGCACAGTGCTGAATAAGGTCTCAAACAAGTCGTCCACAAATTTCTGCAGGGTGCCCTGTGGGAGTAAGGGTGGCAGTGAGATTGTGGGTGGGTGCTAGAGGGCAGCAGAACGCATGCCAGATGGTGTCTTGGATCCATCCTACCTTGGAAATTTGTCTGAAATGCAGTGTGCAGATGGAGGGGCAGGGGTGGGGCAGGGGTGCAGCAGGGGTGGGGCAGGGGTGAGGTAGGTACTGGATGGGATATTGTGAAGCTGGGAGGGGCTGACAAGTCTGGGAATCCATAGAAGGAATCTCTCTTTTAATCTGTGGCAGCATGCCCTGAAGGTATGGGCTGAGGGCATTAAATGGGAGGATAGGAAGTGCTCTGAAATGGGATTTCCTAGAATGAGTGAGAGGGCCCAGGCTGGCAGCAGAGTCTACAGGGGGTCAGGGAATCTGACCCCTGTATAGGGGCTTGGAGGATGGATGAGGTCTGAAAGAAGAATGAACAGCTTTAAGGTGTTAGTGTCACAGGCTTAGGCTTCAAGTTTAGCTTCAAGAGAACCCAGGCACAGCCCCGATCTACAGGCTTCATGGATTCTAGAGGCAATGACAAGCCTGGACCTTGGTCCAGACACACTCTGGGTACTAGTAGAATTACTGATTTTTTTTGATGTCTTTTGATTATCTCTTATTGATATCCTGGGCATATTTAACAAAGCAAAAATGGAGACATGAGTCTAATAAAGTTGTTCTGGACAATTCTGGGAATAAATCTGAGAGCTTTAAGCAACAGTGTTAGAGTCCCTGCAGCATTGCAGTGGGATCAGAGTGGATAGCACTTAGAATCCAGTCTGATCTCTAAGGTAAAACATCCTTGAAGGCTTGGTTTGCTCTCTCCTGGGAAAGCTGGAATATGCTGCCTTTATCTCCTTTTAGCCTGAGATGCACTGGGTCAGGAGGGACAGTCTTTTCTTAGATTGCTGGTCCAACTGGGCCTTTCTGCTTTCTCTCCCACTGGATTAGAAAATAGTTATAAAAGGCAGAGATAGTAGAGGCCAGCAGAAGAGTGGGCAGGATGTACCTGTAACATGGGTGTTTGTGCCAAAGTATAGGGAATAGCTTGGCCTGGGTAGTGTAGGAGTTACCTTGGTGGCCAGGAGCCGGGTCAAGTAGATCTCAGATACCATTTTGCTGCCCCGGTCACCCTCCTTCTGGTCACCATGGTCATGGTTCTTCACCAGATGCCACACCTTGACACCACTCTCCAGGTCTGGAGTGATCATGGGGACCCGGGACCGAAGGCTGTCTGGGCTGCCTGTGTACCTGAACGAAGAGTCTGGAAGAGGGTAGGGGATGCCAGCGTGAGGAAGGCCAACCTCCTGCCCAAAGCCTCCTTCAGGAATTCTTCCCAATTGCTGCAACTTCTCAGAATAAACATGCTTCACTTTGAAAGGACTCTTGGGACTACATAATTTATGAATAGTTTTAGGGATCCTTGGTTGGACAGAGGAACCTACAATCTATTTCTAGAAAGAAGATTTAGACATTTGAAGAGCTTAGACACCCATGAGGATTTGGGAGTCGCTTCTCTTCTGATGTTTCCAGTAATGAACAATAATGAAGTAAAATGTCAGCTAGATATATACATACAGGCACTCTAGAAAGTCTAGATAATAAGGGCTCAAGTTGTAATGATCCTCTTTGTAGTTAATGGACACTTCTTTTGAGATCTTGAAATATATTTTCTGAACCCTTCTGGTACACTGCCTTTAGCCCTAAAGCTTTTTCAGGTGGGTGGTTTAGTGCCTTTGAAGTACGTGGAACCAAAACAGACAAAATAAGAAAGAAATCATGTTGCCGAGAGGAGACTGGGAATAGAAATGAAAGAATAACCAGTTCTGTGTACCAAACTAAGACACTTTTGAGAAAAGAGCTACAATTACTAATTCAACAAGGACCACAGTTATGAAGTGAGATAGGTGAACTTCCAGTCAGGCTACATCCCTGTACTAGGCTACTCCAACTCCTTACTTGGCACAGGGAGTAAAGAAAGGGCGTGTAGTGCTACCTGCTACCTCTTTTCAAAGGAGACACATGCCCTCAAAGCTAGGGGCAGATGAGCCAGTACCTTTGTGTGAAGGTATGGCAGCAACAAGGGCTTCCTAATAAGGGCAGGGACAGGTGGTCCCTGAGTATCCCAGAAGCCTAGATCTTGAGTTTCCCAATTACATTCTAACTCCTTACCATATCTGCTAATGGATGTCCGGGAGATGCTCGCAGAGGCAGGGATGTTGTAGGAGGAGGTCTGCTTGGGTACCAGAGCCACCACTGACCTGTCTGACACCTAAGGAGGGCACAAAAGGACATGGGAGAATTCAGGTGTTTTGAGATGATAAGTACTTCTAGGGAGTGTGGGGTTAGCAGAAGTTCAGAAACATTACAACAACCATTAATGCTTTTTATGTTCTCAGATCACCTGACATGTAGCCAGTCTCAACTAGGTATCTGAATTGAGATTCACACACACACACACACACACACACACACACACACACACACACACGGTTTCAGAAAGTTAGTATGAATGAAGGAATATAAATGGTGTCATTAATAAGTCTTGTATTGATTATGCATTTGGGCTAATTCTTTAAGCTGAATTAAATGAAGTATATTGTTAACATTTCAAGAGTCTGTTTCTGCTTTTTTATTGGAGCTAATGAAAAATTTAGAACGACAGGCATAACTAGTGTTCTATTTCTGTTGGACAGAAGGGTTAGACTCAGATTCCCAACATCTCATGTTATGGATGACTATTTCCATTTTACAGATGAAAGAACAGAAGCAGGGGTGGGCTAAGTCACTGCTTCAGGGTCCTGACATTAATATACTGAGGAGCTGATGTTTTTCTTCAGACCTGTATGTCTCCAGAGCACACATTCTCCTCATTATATTTCCTAATTTGGGATTTTATTACAAACCATATTGGTCTGAGCCCCATCTTTCCTTTTGGCTCCAATTTCCTCCTTGCCTGTGTTGTATTATGTGTTGGCCACCTTGAAGTTTCACCAAAAGGATATCTGCCCTTGGGAAGCTTGGGGAAAGATGGCACATTGCCCTGTCCTCTGAGAAGATGCCAGGCCCAGCACCCAGCAGTTGGTGGTGGTGGGGGCTGATGAATGAGGAGCCATAGAGAAGACATTTGGGGCCATCTTGATTTAAAATTGCCCTCCATCTAATGAAAACGGAGAATCCCCAGAATTGTGGTGATCCAATTAAACCCCTAACGCAGAGGGAATAAAACAGCTATAATAATGTTATGGGCCATAAAACATTCCTATTAAACCATTTTTTATTTTAACAATTTTTATGAACTTTGTAAGTTTGATTTATAGCTTCACCAGCCATAAAACCATCTTTCTGGGTCTTAAATTGTCAGTTCTTCTTTCTCACCAAAAAAGAATTAAATGTTGAGAAGTCAAACTATAAATGAACATTAGCGCTAACGAGATTCCCTGATAGCCAGCTTTAGTAGTGGTGTTTAATTTTACCCTCCTTATAAATCTACGGAAGCCCAGGCAGTCTTTTACCCCTCTCTTTGTTAATTAAGATGATTTTCTTCTGCAGGGGCTCCAAAGACCTTTGACTCCAGGAAAGGGTAGTAAGAGGGCAGAGTGGGTAAGCCTCTTGGGTCTCCATTATTCCCAGGAGGTGCCAGTGTTCACCTCCTGGTTGGAGAAGTTCTGGATTTTCCAGCTATTTGTATTATCAACACCTAATCTATGGTTGAGGAGAGGTAAGGGGCATTAACCCTGACTCTCAAGAATTCTTGCCACCTGCAACCCAAAAATGCTCCTCTGAAAGCCTGGCAAGGGTGGGAGTATCTACTCTCAGCAAGGACAGATGACATTATTTATGATTTGTTGCTGTCTACAGCGAAAGTCACAAGGTGGCTAATGTGACCCCTTCTAAGACTAGTTGCTAATGATACCTTTCTCTTATCTCTCCGTCTCACTCTGTGTTTCTGTCTTTCTCCTACTTTCTCTGTCTCTGTCCACCCCCCACCCCCAGTCTCTCACTTTCTCTAATGCTGTCTCCTTACCCCACCCATATTTTGTTTTGTTTTGTTTCTCTCTTTCAGTCAATAGATGGTATAAGCCCAAGCTCAGAATACCTAGCTGGATCTGACCCCAGTTCTGCCACCACTTAGCAGTCAAACCCCTTAGCCTCTCTGGGACTTGGTTGTCTCATTAGCCTCTTGGGCTAATAATCAGATCTGGCAATCACTGATGTGGTGATTATTTAAAAAACTAAGACACATACAGGCTGAGTGAAGTACCTGTTACCCAGTGATCACTCAGCGTGTGTTGATATTCATGCTGCCATTTTGAATAATAACACCAACCTTATCATCTCTTGAAGGAAGAGTCCCTGCTGTCCCTGTCACTCAGAACTAGAATGTGGGAAGTGCCTTGCACTCAGTAAAGCTCAGTAAATATTTGAGGAATGAATGAATATATGGACAACAAATGACATGACAGAATTGGAAGTGTTTTGTAAAAGGAGCACAATAAGAAAGGAATATTCTATTCTTATTGAAAGTCACAGGATGGGTAACCCAGGAATAATCTTTAGGGTATCAGAGATGGATGAAAACAAAGGCCCCAAGCTTGCCCTTCAGGAACAAAAGATTTGGTGGTTCAGATTTGTTCTCTTTTGCACTGTCTCATTCACCTCTAATTGGTTCATTACAGTTGTACTGTATGCACTTACTGCTGTGTATATGTGTTTACATGTATGGAATTAACATGAAGTGATTTGATTTCTCTTGCTTGTATGTAAGGGAAAATCTTGAGTTTGTGCATTTGTCTCTAATTCTAGCTATCTTCATGCCCTTTCTTGTCATAGGTGTTAACTCCTGAGAATGAATGAGAAGCTTGAGGTTGGGAGAAATTATAGAAAGCCATCACCAGAGTGGGTGTTGGGCTGGAATACGCCTTCAAAGCCCCAGTTCTTGTTTACACAACTTCCCTCATTTGGGGCTGAGATCCAGGCGCAGCATGGAAGATGTGCAGGGAGGAGTGCTCTGGGGTATCCCCAGTGCCCCCAGATTCTTCTGTGCTTTGAGGCACTTGGCCAGCTTCAGGGCCTCCCAGTGGCTAGTCATTGCTAGCTCAGCCTAGCCAGTCAGTCCCTCTGCAGGCCTCTCTTTGTAAGCCAGGCACATAGGAGGATATTATTAATCAAAGAGTCCCATGGGTCTTATAGCCTGAGGCACTTCATCTAGTTGGCTTAATTTTCCTCAGTGTCTCTCATTTCTAGCTCCTATCTCAGTACTTTCCCTAGATCCCAGGCTGTCTACCTGTGCTTAATCTTACAGAGACTCCCAAGCTGTGACTGGCTCCCATGGGATTAAAGCAGGGTAGAGTGGATGCTTATATTCTTCTACTGGAATTTTTATGATTGTTCATCCATGTCTTCCAATATTAAAAACATATTCCTTGTCAATTTCTATGCTGAATCTAATCTACACACGTGCTGAGGTACCCCATACAGGTAAAAAGAAAGAACATGTAAGCAATGTTTCCAGCTACTGTGAATCTTAGGGGCTGAAGGCAAGTCTGTGTCCTATTCTACAAGCCAGAGAACCAATGGCTTTAGTAAAAAGACAGACAAATGAGCACAAGGCACCTTTCTGTAGCTGTCCAGGTATAGGATTTTGCACTATGTGGTCCCTTCTACAGTTGCAGAAACACACAGGAGAAAAATGTGAAGGCAGTTAGATTTATTGTGGGGGCCCATGTTTTCTCATCTAATGGGCAGTCACAGCAGAGCGTCACTGTTCCAGACCCACAGAAGAAGAAAATGGAGAGAGGAAAGTACCTTGTTGGCTTTGGAGGCCTTCTAACAGAGAGAAAAAGGGATACTCTTGGGGATGAAGGCTGCAGGGAAGTCTGCCCTCACCTGGTAGTGCATCAGCGTGTTAAGCCGCTTCCAGTCACCCTCTATCTTGGTGGTAATGTCTTCATCCTGCAACACCACTCTGGCAATCCGGCCTTGGCGCCACTCTGGGTGGAAAGGACGGTATGGGTAGCAGTGAGAGTGGCAAGGGCAGTCAGGGACACCCTGTCCATCTGTCCTCTAGAGATCTAGTAACCTTGTCTCCATTGGCTGATGTCAGTGGTAGAGCTTTGAGACATCTACAAGCGGGGCAGGGCAAGGCTGATGTGTAAGAGACTCACATCTGAGTGGACAAAGCCTAAGAGAGAAGTACTTCCCTGGTCACCTGGCCAGGGCCTAGTTATGTTTCAGTGGGGGCTGTGTATAAGGCAGAACTTCATATCCCATTTTCCTTGCCATCTCATGGCCTGATAGCTCTCTGGGAAGCCATGTTCTGCTCTTGCCCTCCTATGCCAATGCCAGGGTTCCTACCCAGGTCCATGTCCACAGCCCTTGGCCGCTGGGAGTAGGGGACGTTCTTATATACGGCATCGAGGATCTTCTCCTTGACTTGGGTGATGGTGTCACAGTTTAACACCTTCACTGGGATCTCTGGGCTGTTCTCATTGTCAGGGTTGACGCAGTTCAGGATCTGTAAGTAGAGAATCAAGGGTGAGCTGGGCATATTTGGGAAGCAGGGTGGGAAGAAGCTGCGGCCTCAGAATCTTCTTCTAAGGTTTCCTCTCCTTATAAGAAGAATAGGGAATCTCTGTCCTGAGACTTGGTTTCTTCCCTTTCTTCCTGCCATCTACTGTGAGACCTGAAGTCAAGATGTTAATCCTTTCTCAAGAAAGAGGGAATCTACTTCCTAAATGGGTTGGGGGAAGGTCAACTTGGTATGAGGCACTTGAGAAGGTTCAAGATAGATCCATGGGCATCAAGGGCTGGCCTCACATGTCCTCAAAACATTTAGACTAGAGACCCGCACACTTGCTTTCGTTCCTTGCTAAGTATGCAGTCCCTAATGGTGAGAGAACTCTTTCTCACTCAAAATCATCTAGGGTAAACTGAGGCACACACAGCTTTTTTTTTTTTGGCTCACCAGTTAAGATGAGGGAAAGGTCTGCCTTGACCTTCATATAATTGATATGCCCTTTGAATTGCCCCAGATTGATCCCCAAGCCTCTTTTTGCTAGATGGGCTAGAATAGAGAGTAGGGAGAGTCACAGGTGGTACTGGGGCTGGAACCTGACTTTTTTGGCTTCCTCACCAGGGTCTTGTACTCGATCTGCTGCCGGATGAGTTTGTCCTCACTCAGGGAGTAGCGGGCCTCACCAGTGATAGCATCGATGGGGCCTTTCTCCATCTGCTGCTTGATGGCACAGTACAGCATGAAGAGTGGCTCCCCAGCACATTCCTGTAGGCATCGGGGTAGAGAGTTCAGACCCTGCCTGAACCTTCCTGGCTGCTTCTGCAGCCGGGGCAGAGAACCCCAGGCCTGCTTTGCTTAACAGCAGCCACATCAAGGAATCCCTGCTTCTGAAGGGCAGGTCCCCATGTTTCTAAAGCCAGGGTATGTGGTTGGCTCTGGACCTGCTCACTCCCTCCTTCTTACCTTCAGGAACTTGTGTAGAAGGAAAGCAAACCAGTTGGTCAGCATCTTCTCAGCCACAGACTCAGTCCTGGAGAAGGGAGAGGGGTGGGGAACCAGCCTTTACACAGGGGTCTAGTGGTGATCTAGGCTTGTTGTGTGTGTAAGAGAGCACAGGGCTAAGACTGGACCCTGGCAACCCAACCAAACCAGAAATAACTGGAAATGGGACTGGTCAGGAGTGCGCTCTTTCCCATACTTAGTGGGAAGTTGCGGGGGGGGGGGGGGGGGGGCGGGGGTGTCTTTTCCCAGGATTCAACTTTCTGAGACTCTAGAAAGTCAGGACATTTCATCCTTGCTGCTCTGTGGTACCACAGACTGTTGGTGATACCTGATGCGGTCGCAAATGCTTATCCCACAGCCAGTTCCCTGCTCCCTCTGGTCTCATGGTGATGAATGGAATCTGTCTGCTCCACTGTGATTTCTGCATATTCAGATACTCCATGGTGCACACCTGGTATCTGCCTCTCCAAATACTCACAGGTTGCCACCGGTTTAAACCCAGACTGGTTTATTTACTGGCTGTATAACCTTGGGCAAATCATCTGGCTTCTTTGAGTTCATTTTCTCCATCACTACATGCACACAGTTATGATATTCACACTTCCAATTGTTAGTTGAATGGGTTAACATATTGAAAATGCAAAAGGTAACATCTGGCTCCACAGTAAAACACTGGGTAAATAAGAATGATTAGTACTGTAGTTCATGTGCCCTCTAGGCCTGCAGGTAGAGAGCTATGCTTAAGAGTTTAGCCAACAGGGGGATCTGTTTCTGTAAGCACTGCCTCCTCCCCCTCCCCCACCCCAGGCTGCAGGTCTGGGAATTGGGGAAGAAACAAAGCCAAAGCACTGTGACAGACCTTGTTGATGGGGATGCCAAGGGGTATTTTAACTCCCCACACGTGGTGCAAATTATACCCTCTGGCTGAAGTAAACCCCAGGCATTTGCCAGGACCCCTTAGCAATCAGGGCTGGTAGAGAGTGACAATGGCAGGAGAAATTGCAGCTTTCTCTCCGGGCCCTCCCAGCACCCTCTCCCAGCATTGTGTTTGAGATTAGCTCTAATTTAAATACAACAGTCCTTAATGAAAGCTTCCAATGCTCAGAATGGCAGGATGGGGGCTCAATGCTTATAAAACAAAGCCACCCATGTGGGGTCTGAAAACCCAAGACCTGTGAGCAAAGGTACAGGAAAAGTGAGTGGAGGCGACAGATTCAACCCTTGCGGCTCAGAGCCCTAGATCTGGCACCCCATGACTTCAACTAAGGGTGGGTGCAGGAGACAGAGGGTCTCTAAAATCTGTGCCCTGCCAGAAAAGTGGCAACTCAGGCAGTTGGTATAGGCTAGCAATTTCAAGCCAGGAAGCTGGGACCCAAACTTGCTCTCAATCTCTAGCCCAGCATGTCTATCAGATCTAAGTATGATGATGGGAAATGGGTTGCCTGTGCTGTCCAATATGGTGGCCACCAAACACAGGGTGTCTGGACACTGGGAATGTGTCCAGCAAGATGGAGAAATTGAAGTGTACATTTCATTTTTGTTAACAGTGGCTACCATGCTGGGGCACACAGCTCGAGAAGCAGAGGGAGGGGCATAGACTAAGAGACAGGTATTACTCTTATCTTGTTTATGAGGAAACCAAACTGTTGGGATTAATGAGTCCTGGCCTTCAGTTGCTTTTCCCTCCTAGAGCCTTCTAATATCAGTTATTGGAAGCTGTGCCTAGTTAGAGGATCAGAGGATCACCTGTTGACCACTAACTGCAGTGTATTTAAGTCTACATGGTGTTAATAAAGATGGGCTTTCTGAACCAGCGTTTGGGAGCTGCGTGTTGTGTCAGTCTGCATCTGGGTCTGTAAACTCAACCTCCAGCCCCTTTCCCGAAGCTCGGTAACTGGGTACCAGCACACAGAGCGCAGACACGGGGGCACGGTGCGCGGCACCAAACCACTTTTAAAAGGCAGCTTTCCTGGTGTGAGGTCATAGAGACAAGAAATAGGAAAAGCATTCCTGTTGAGTCCCAAGACAGGGCTGGCTATGCACTTGGGTTAGAAGCCGCCCGGTTTCCCAGGACCAGTGGAAGATCACCTTCCATACTGGGTTGACGGGAGGATACATGCAGCCCTGCACAGAAGCTATTTCTGGGGGGTGAGGACATCCAGGGTCTATCTGACAAGGTGTCCTGTCTATAACTGCCATTCCCCTGCTGCGGGTCAGACCTGCGGAGAAGAAGCTTGGGGTGGTTCTTGTTCTCCAGGTTCTTGTCGATGAGGTCAGACAGTAGCTGCTTGAGGACGTCTGTGGCATATTCCAGGCGGCCCTGAAGGCCTGTCATGATGAGAGAAGCCACATTGCCGCGGTCACGCATGGAGAAGCTGCGCTGCAGCTCCAGTGTGCGAATGAAGGTCAACAGGAAAACCTTGTTGTTGATGAGCTGGGCGAAGAGTTTCAGGGCTTTCTCCACGTGCTGCTGTCCGTTTCCCTGTACCTGGGGTATGCAGGAGGACCTTCAGGGGGCAGACTCTGATGTCTACCCAGGCCCTAAGACCTGATGGTGACGATGCCTGCTGTAAGACCCTCTGCACGAGGGCTGCAATCATTTCGTCCCCCAACTCAGACTACCCCTGCTTATTTATTTCCCCTCAATTTTCTCTGCCTTGACTCATTCTCTTGAGTAAACAAACAAACAAATGTATGAATAAGTTCAAGGTCATTTTTTAAGCCTTTTTTAATCCATGCTGATTTGGTAAAATTTTAATTAACTCGGCATTTAATCAGAAAATGACGAACCATGAGACCCTCTCTGATGGTCCTGCTGCTGTGATGCTGTTAAAACTCCTGGTCCTTTCCCCTCATCATCCGACTCCTGCCCCCTGGATTTGCTGGGAACCCCTAGCTTGTGTCATTGGAAAACAGGCAGTACCTCCAGCTCCCGCAGAACAGGGTGGTCCTCAATGCCTGGGAATAGAACTCGCATGGCATAGGTGCGGTAGTCCAGGTAAGGGATTCCTGACCGGTCCAGGTCGCTGGTTAGCTCATTAATGTCTGTCTGAAGCTCCGCAAAAGCTGTGAGAACGGGTGAAGACAGGGAAGCTCAGAAGATGCTCAAGTCACGGGAGAGGACAGAGAGAAAAGCCTGTCTGCAGGAGGAAGGAAACTGGGGTACAAAGGCGGCAGGATAGAGGGTGTGGTAAGAAAGGAGTCCTGGACTGTAGCTGTGAGTTGTTTACTATGGGATTTTAAGGACCTCCCAAAGGCATGGTCCCCAACTTGGAGCTACTAGAGGTGGTAGGAATTGAAAGAGGTGGAACCTGAGGGAGATGTTAGGGAAGGGGATTTGTGAGACTCTGGATATCCCTCTTGGCTGCATACTTTATCCACTGTAAGCAGCCTTACCACAGGCCTAGTGACAACAGGACTGAATAATACATAGAAAAATTCCAAACTGAGCCAAAATAACTTTAAAAAATATGTGTATGTATGCAGGTGAATAGATATGTGACATCTTCAGAAACACAATCTACCACCTTTGAGACATGTTCTCATTAGTGTGGAGTTCACAACTTAGGCTAAACTGGCTGGCCAGTGAGTCCTATAGATCCTCCTGTCTCTGCTTTCCCTGTGCTAGAATTATAAGCACATGCCACATGCCCGGCATATTTTTATGTGAGTTACAGGCATCAGTTTCAGGTCCTCACGCATGTGACTGTGCTACCTCCTGGACCTCCTCTTTTCTGCTTACTAGGTGATTACCTCCAGGATTTATTATAGTAAATGGAATCTGGGTAACATACTGTGATGAGGACTCGGGCAATTTTTATGTCTTCTATGCTTATTTGTAGTTTTTTACTTCTGTATTTGCAGAGGTGGCTAAAATGTAGAGAAGAGAGTATCATGACTTCAGTCCTTTGGAGGTGTCAGAAGCAAGGGGAGAGCAGCAGGAGTTTGGCAAAGGTCAGAATAGCAAATTGATCTCTGTCCTAGGAAGATAAGCAGAGATATGGCAATCCTGGAAGGCCTTGGCTATCAAATGCTCAATCTACAGGTGACTCCAGGCAATGAAGGGCTCCCAAGTGTCTCCCTGGCTTCCCAGGTCAGAGGTAATTCTTCAGGCTTTGTGCTGTGGTTTGAGGAAGGTGGGAGGGTTCTGATCCATCTCTTCCAGCACAATTTTCCCCCATTGTCCAACAGTTGCTTGCTTGTGAAAAGCCACTTGCAGCAAAAGGGAAAATGTTTTGATTCCTAACTGAGATGTTTACCCAGTCAGCCTGCCAGGTCCTCAGCCCGAGAGAATGCCAGGTATACATGTCACCCTGTGGATGTGTCTGCGTGCGAGATGAGAAGAAACACAATCTCCACTCCTACACATATTCACACCCAAGGCTGCCAACAAGCATGGCCTTTGGAGCATTTAGTCTATAATTGTGATAGAAAACAAATCCTAGGAGATGGTGGGCCAGGACGAGGTAGGGTTCTCCTACTTTCCTGCTGTGGCTTCCATATAGTGCAAGGGTACCTCTGTGAATAACAGTAAAGGGATAGACACTGGCAATTAAAGAATCTGGTCAGAGATGGTAAGGCCTGACAAAATCTCACTGTGATGGCATACAAGTCCTGAGGGGGAGCCAGCTGGCCAAATTGTGGGTTGGATTGGAGTAAAGCAGAGAGAATGAGCAATGCCAATAGACCTGTTTCCTCACTCATGAGTCTCCCCCTAGGTCTTCTCTAACCCCAGGGACAGGGGAAGCTCCTGGGAAAGAGTGAAATATGAAGGCTTATGGGAGAAGGATAGGAATAAAGTCAAGGTCTTATATGTAAGAAGGGTAATGAGATTAATGAAGAAGAAAGGCTCCAGGAAGTGAGGATATACTTGTACTCACCTTCCTTGCACTCCAGGGCCACCCTAGACTCCAGGTTGTCCATCTGCATTTGTAGGCGCTTGAGCGTGAGGTCATTTTCCCTAGACTTGCGCTTGTAAGCGATGAGGACAATGATGACGATGATAAGGAGGAGGCTTCCGCCAGCCGCGATGCTGATGATGGCTGGCAGGGTCAGCAAGCTGTCGGAGATGACACTCACCGAGCCAGGTGAGAACACCATCCCACCCACGTGAACCTGTGCATTGTACACACAGATACACATAATGCACACAGGTGTAGAGCCCTGGCATGCCGTCATAGCCTACAGTATTACGGTGTGAGGAACGACAGGACAGACTACAACAGCACAGTTCATATTTGGATACTGAGCAATTCCCTGGGATCTGTCTTCCTATTTATGTTCCCAACTGCTATCCATTTTAGTGTAGGGTGTGCAGAGGAGGAAACGTGGGAAGGCATGAGTCAGGCGATGAGATGAAACGGAATCTTTCTTCGTGCGTGCATGGTAAGGCTGGGCAGAGGAAAGAGACAGAAGAGGGTTCACTCACCATAACCTTGTGCTGCCCAGTGAGGTTGGGAGGTTCACAGAGCAGCTGCGTCTCAGACACAGTGACTGCACATGGTGTCTCTCCAATCATCACTGTGTAGTTGAGTTTGGCCCCTCCAGAGGCAGGAGGGCAGAGATTTTTGCCCTGTAAAAAACCAGGTGTCTTAATGAGGAGAATTGCCATATGCAAGCAGAAATTAATTGCCCACTTAAAAAGAGTTAAAGGAGCCAGAGTGGGGGAGCAATGTAAAAATCAATAAATGCCTTCATGTCAGGTTTTCTTTTTAATTTTTTATTTAAAAGTTTTTTTTTTTTTTTTTTTTTGTAACATACCAACCAGAGTTCCTCCTCCATCTGCACCCTACCATGAGTCCACTCCTCAGAAAGGGGAAGGTCTTCCATGGGGAGCCATAAAAGTCTGTCATATCAAGCTGAGGCAGGACCACGCCCCTCCTCACTGTATCACAACTGGGCAAGGTATCCCTCCATAGGAAATGGGCTCTAGTGGTAAATCCTGGTCCCACTGCCAGTGTGGCCCCACAGACTGATCAACCACAGAACTGTCACCCACATTTAGAGGGTCTAGTTAGGTCCTATGCAGGTTCTGCAGCTGTGAGTCTGGAGTCAACGAGCTCCCACTAGCTCAGGTCAGCTTTCTCTGTGGGTTTCCCCATCATAATCTTGACTCCTTTGCTCATATAATCTCTCCTCCCTCTCTTTGCATGTTAGGTTTTTAAGGGAGGCTTCAACCAGCCACGGAGTAAAGGAGACAAAAAAAAAATGGCAGAGGGGGATGTTTGGGGAAGAGGAAGGGAAGAGGACAAAACACTGGATGAATAAAGATGGAGGGGAGGACACATGGGATTTAAAGGGCAGGTGGGGCACAACAAAATTCCTGGATGCTACCACCTGGAGAGTTAGCCTCCTTAAGAGGGAAGGGCCTGCAGCTCTCTCTCCCACCACTACCCAGGCTTCTCCCCTCCATTCGTGTTTCCTACCTTCAGGATGATGGGCGAGCCTGGTTTCTGATCCAAGATTCCAGTGGGGCTGAGCAGTTCAAAAGTTGGGTTGGGATAATAGATGAACTTGGTGTCATTATAGATGAGTAAGGACTGGACATTGTTAAAGACAAAGCCAAACTCATCTGGCCGTTCCACAGTGTCCAGGCCTGGACGGTAGTCGCTGGTCAGAGAAGGTGCCAGACAGGTCAGCGTGGTTGTGTTTACCACTGTACACACCTAGGAGGCAGGAAGACACATTCTGAGCACCTGGTGGGTGAAGGTGGGTCTATCATCTCCTCTTACCCTCTGAGGTGAATCCTCACCTCACCTTTAACCCTGCTCATTTATTCACTGACACTGTTTTGAGCACCTGTTTTCTGGCAGACACTGGGCTGAGAGTCTGGTGCACAGGATGAAGTAGTCTCGAGGGACAGCTCTAGATTAATTAAACAAGCATTGTAAGCTGGTTCACAGAGAGCCTGCGGCAGTACAGGGCAGGATACTGTGAAATGCATGAATGGGTGAGGAACACTCTGGTGGGGAGAACCAGATGCTCTGGGAAGTCTGTGGGTTCGCATGGCCTGAAGCAGCATTCATGAAAGATTTCCCTCATCTGAAGAATGGGAGGCTTCCCTAGGCCAGAGAGGGACAGTGTGGGGACAAGCTTCAGGTGAAGAGCACAGCAATGGAAAGGTCTGGGGTTGAGGATGTGTTTGAAGGAAAGGACAGCTGCAGTGAGGGGGTACGTGTGGGGTGTGTGTCGGTGTGTGGCGTGGGGTTTGTGTTGGTATGTGGTGTGGGGTGTGTGTCGGTGTGTGGTGCGCTGTGTGGGGTGTGGTGTGTGGTGTGGTGTGGGGTGTGTGGTGTGTGTGTCAGTGTGTGGTGTGGTGTGTGGGGTGTGTGTCGGTGTGTGGTGTGGTATGTGGTGTGGTGTGTGTCTGTGTGATGTGCGTATGGGTGTGTGGTGTGGGGTGTGTGTGGGGCAGGAAGTGGTGAGATGAGTAGGTTGTACCTTGCGTGGTGTTCAGCTAATGTTTCAGGACAAAGAAAACAGGAGCCTGCCTCCCACTTAAGATCTTAGGGTCTTTCTGTCTTTTCTCTAGCCATGTTCTCCTCCATCTGCACTGGGGTAGAACCTTAGAAGGGACACTGAGCTCATGTGATCCCTTGTCTCTTGATAGACCTCTGGTCTGCTATCAAATTCTACTGGGCTGGCCCTGCTTAGCAGTGGGTTATTCTCTCCGGCAGTGGTTGGTTCAGAGGTTCAGACAGCAGCCAACCAAAGAAACTACGAATAGACTGACGGAAGAGGCTTAGGGAAGAAAGCAGGTCCCAGCTTGCCCTCCAACTTTTACTCTGTATGTACCACAGTTAGCTCAGTTTCACTGTGGGAGCTGGGCTGTCATAGAAACAGCTTAGGACACCTTTAATAAGAACTCTAGTACATCCTGCTTAGCAGTGTGTGTGTGTGTGTGTGTGTGTGTGTGTGTGTGTGTGGTCCACATACACACACCCAGGCTTTAGGACGAGAAACAGGTCCCTGTGTGAAACAGCTGACAGTAACACAGTAAAGAGCTGAATGTAAGTGGTTTCCTTTCCTGGGAATCCCACATCAGTTGATATGCAGAAGTGACGTCAGAACTTCAAACCTAAACCTTAACTCTCCCTCACAAAGCAGCTTCCCGGTGACGCCTCTGCTGTGCTAGGGATCAGTTTCCATTCCTGTCCTTTTCACTGTACACTTCAGCAGCCCCTTTCCAACTTAATGTCCATGTCAGGGTGCAGCTGGAGACACCGAGGCACAGGAAAAGCGACAGGTGCTGTTAATTAAGTACAGTTGCGTTAGAATCAAATTCCTAGTTCTTCTACAAGGAAGACTCCCAGCTCAGCGTGATTCTCCATTGCTGTGGCATCTTCCTCCTTATCGGCTCGGTTTCCATAGACACAAATGAGGCTCCCGTGTGAATAAGAAAATCAGTTCTAAACAAGAGAGCACTGTGTGTTGCCTGCCCTTCTTCATCACACTTTGCTTGTCAACATCCCTATGCATTTTGAGACTTTGTGCCAACCTTTTTCACTGCTACTGGGAGATTGGAACGCAAGGAAAAGGATAACCCTATGTAGGGTAAGGCTAGGCTGGGGCCCAAATGGACCAGAAGGGCAAAGCATTTCCTTTCCTCATACTGTAAACAGAGGCATAGGGACACTGCCTTCCATCCAGGCCTGACAGCCTGATTACTTCCAGGCAGGTCACTATGGAGGCCTCGGGCCTTACCACTTTCCAGACGGTGGAACTATATTTTAGTTCCTGGAAATACTGCACTATTTCCATATTTCCATAGCTACTGTGTGTAGCTATGGTGGCAGTGAGGAGATAGTCCTTAAGATGTAGATGAATCCAAAGGGAGGGGAGAGAGACCACACCTGGGCCTGTGACTTTTGCAGGATGTTAGGTAAGAAGGAAGCTCTTGCTCATTTTCTCCTTGAGGACGAGAGCTGTAGCTTTTGGGAGTCCCTTGTCTGCCTCATGCCAATATCATAGCATTCTCTCTATACTATATTTACATTTCATTTTGTGTATATTTGTGTCTTATTATATTGATCCTGCTAACTGGAGAGGGACTCTTCCCTAGCTTGTCCAATTCCTTGAGACAGCAAAAATCTTGCTACCAGCCAGCATTCCTTGTATGCAGAAACAAACAACAGAGACAGCCCTCACCCAAACCACCTCATGTCATACAACCTTATGCCCTAAACATCCCAAATGGCTGGTCCTGGTTGTACCAAGCAGCCAGAAACAGCCTCTCATGTCTCAGAGGCAACAGAGATACACCAATCAATCCTCTGGCCCTGGGGCACCTGAGCTAGAGCTTGCTTTTTCTTCTGTCTCTGCATGAAGGAACCAGTGTTCTGCCTTGGCATGGGCTCCCTTCTCTTAAGAATTGATCTGTGAGTTTCATTCTGTTTGGTCACGTTGGAATGATAACAAAATCTGTATTTTAAGAACCATATTTAACTTTGAGAGCAGAGGGTTTATCTACCTTAGGTATGAGTTCAAGGCTCCTATTCCTAACACCCTGGGCTCCAGAAACTTGACAGAACAGCAGTGATTGGGAGCCCAGAGAAGACTTAGCCATCAGTAGATAGACAGGGTCCAGGCTCTTTCCATGAGGATTCTGAACTTGGATGTAGGGAGCATGTGTTTACCTAGCCAAAATTGCTGAGCATCTGTACCATGATGGGAAGTCAGTCCCATGAACATCTCACATGGTCAAGTTATGAAGAGTCTGGAATCTAGCATGAACTTTCCTCAAATCACTTGTGACTGGAGGCAAGTCATCTACCCATCTGGCCTAAGTCTCTCTGCTATGCAAGGAAGGTGTGGGAACCTGATGATCCTCAAGACATTTCTTGGTCCAGCCTAGCATTCTGTTATTTTGTGCACCTCTGTTTTCCAAGGAAGATTCAGCAGGCTGGACATGTGTCAGGTATAAGAGGAGAGACAACATTTTACATTTTGCATGTCCATCTTGGCTTCACCAGTATCTCAAAGGTCACAGAGTAATGGCAGTAATTCATAGTAATAATAATGGTCATCACAGCATGTTCTGTACTATAATTATGAATACAATAATGTTCACAAAATGATGGCTGAAAAGAGCAAGACTGTGCTGCAGGAACAAACTGGAAACTTTTCAATAACTTATCTGACATTCTGTTCTTATCAGAATAGAACTTTTTGGAAAATCACAGAAATCCATAGCTGAAATGAATGTATTATACAGCTATGCAGAGGAGTGCAGAAGCTGTCATCATCTTGCCAGCAGGCCAGAATTCTCTGTCTGCAGTAGCTGACATTAAGTAAAAACATTAACTCTATGGCTGGCCTGTTCTGAAACTGGAAAGCAAGCCTTTCAGCCATTTACCTGTGAGGAGCACAGGATCCCAGAAGTTAAAGACTTGATCAGAGCCACATAGCTCTTAAATGGCAGAGTCTTGCTTCCAATACAGAAATTCCTAGATGTGGAGGAAGAACTTCTTTCCATCTCCTATACTGTTTCTCATTTAGTCTTTAAGTGAACATTTTCATTGAAGTGAGCATTACCCTTTTGTGCTCTGTCAAACTCAGCAGCCAACCCTTTTAGACCCCTGCTATACCGTCTTCTGAAATTATACTGCTATCCCATTAGTTTCTTGGAGGCTCAGTTGTTTGGAACTGTAACTAACTGTAACTGAAGAGTCAGGTCTTCAGTCAAGTTCCCTGTCTAGTGATCAGGTATATCCATATGCCTTTTGCCTAGCTGCTGGCCTCGTACGATGTGGGCAAAGAGGCATGGTTCCTGAGGCCAGGGAATGGAAGATCAAAGGTTACTCACATTGACAGATTCTTTGCCATTAAACTTGACTCGGATCTTTGGCTCCTGAATGACATCCAAGTTGAAGCCTGTGACAGTTAGGGGTGTGTGGCCACTGGGAACAAGCAGAAACTAGGTTAAGTAAAACCCCCTTAAATTTAGTACAGTGAACTTCAACCATTAGAATACCTGATATGAGCCACACTTGGGCTGTAAGGCCTTTGCAACCTCTTCTCCCTCTGGGTGAGTCCTGTTAACCTCACCTCCCTCCAGATACAATCCACCAACCTCACTGTCCTTCAGAGGATGTGTCCCGCCAACCTCATATCCCTCCAGATGTATCTCTCCAATCTCACGCACCTAGTGATACTCCACTCTGGCTCAATGCGTTGGACCCGAGGGTCATCTATGTATTCAAACTGCAGACTGCTATCTATCCGGGCTCTGTCAACACTCACGGAGACAGGGACTGGTCCCAGTCCATTGGAGGATGGGGGTGAAACACAGAAAATCTCATTCATGGACCTCCTGATGGGAAAAAAGAGAAGGATTAAGAAAAAAAGAGATGGGCATGAGCTATTTTGAAAGGCATGTTCCTTATCCCATGTGTGGCCCATGACTCATTATGTTGTTTTCTTATTTTCTGTGATACAGAAATACCCTTCCTGGTGTCCGTCAGTACTTTCCTTTTACCTTAGCTGAATTAGGAAGAGAGCACAGTAGAAGGGATACTTAGAGAACATGGGCTGAAACAAGGCTCTACTGGATTTTGGAGAACTCTTTCTGGATTTTTCTAGAATCTAGACTCTAGTCAGGTTGTCAATACATAGTCACATAATACAAGCCCCTATTATGATAAACACATGGGGCTTTCTCTTGCAGAGTTAATAGTGAAAAACTCTCAGGTGGTCAACATTGGGCAAACTGGGGCCTCGCCCATAGATTTCTTTAGAATCCTCCTGGAGTCTGCATCTTTATGGTTCATGGGTTCATAGGTTCATGGGCTGACAATATTAGATTTTTTTTTCATTTGTTTGTTTTAATGCTCAGGAGATCATCCTGAGGACAAATTTGTCCTTAACTTGCTGAGACCATGTGACCTCCATAAGTCCCAAGTCCTTACAGTGAAACTCAGCCTGGGAAGCTACTGGGATCTTTCCTCATTTCTTCTGATAGCCCTTCCTTCCAGTTCCCTATAGATGTTACCAACTCCTCTTATCTATAGGACATAAACTGATAAGTGGCATACATTTCTAACAATGGCTGGTATGGGCCATTGTTTGGGTCAAGGAAAGGACCAATGACAAGGAGGCAATAGGCATGCCAAGCCAACAAGAATACATCATCTTTCAAGATTAACTTACCCCTCGAATTTGCAGGTCTGATTGCCCAGGTACACTGCCACACTGCTCCCAGCACCAAGGTAATGGCCTGTGATGGTCACCTTGGTACCTCCTGACTCTGGTCCCCGAATGGGGCTGAGTGACAGCACAGAAGGGTTCTTTGAAAAGAAGAGAAACATCCACAGCTTAGGTCCAAGGCTAGACCTAACAGTAAGAGGGATCATCATCATGCTGGGAGCTAAGGTACTTTTCCTGCTCTTTGTAGTTTCAAACATCACTGCTTTGTCTGGAGGTCTGTTCAGGGAAGGTGAAGGGCTGCCATACACTGGGATTAATTAACTCCCTTGGGAGTCTTATACTCACAACACTGAAGGGAAGCTGACATGACACTGACTAATTTATCAATTAGTTTGAAAATTGAAAACAATTTGAAAATGCTGCTTAATATAGAGCCTATCCTGATTTCTTTGGCACAAAATCAATAGGACTGAGTAAAATGTTCTTGCTTAAGTTTGGCAGCTTATAGACTGTAGCCCCTATAAATGGTCCATATATATGTCCTCTTGTCCTGCCGTAAGCACTGAGGACTTCTGGTACCATCAGTAAATGTTAAACATGGCCATTCTGACCCTTACTGGTGGATGAGACTATCACTTGCTGGCATGCTCACTAAGTTGTACATTAAGCTACAGCTTAAAAATTTTTTCTAGCTATTACACACTAAGGAGTTGACCTAAACCAGAAAGAATTGCTTCTGCCTAGTGGGCAGTGGTGTGGAAAATGTTTTTTGTTTGTTTGCTTGTTTATGTTTTTGTTATCTTGTTAGATAGTCTCCCCAGATAGCTAGTTAGATAGCTCAGGCTGGCCTTGACTTTGAGTGAGACCCTCCTATCTTCACCTCCTGAGGGCTGGGATCAAAGGCACAGGGCACCACACGTAGCTTGGGAAGTGAATTTAATTTAGTGAGTGGGTTCTAATCTGTACCAACTCTTCACTATCCATGACCCTGATTATTTTGAATTTCAGTTTGCTCCCTTGTCCATTGAGGAAGGTAAGATGGGCCCTTCCCAGTTGTGATATTTACAACTCCCTCCCTATCTTTTCTCTTTGCTCCCTGCCTCCTCAAACCCCCCCCAGAAGGAAATGAAGCACAGTGGCTGCAGACAGGCCAATCTGAGAGAGAAAAGTACAAGGGAAAAGGTAGCGATGCCAAAATGAGAACATGGGCCTAGAAGCTCTAGACAAGGTAGTAAAACACTTTTAGGGGAAAAGAATTTTGTCGTTTAATGATTTTTCAACACTCTTAGCAAGGCTGATTTGACCCAATTCGCTGTCCTTAACACTTTTTAATGAAGTACTCAATGTGGAAAGGTTGGTAAGTTTTAGAAAAGGAACTTAAGGGTCCCAACGCAATGTATTGATTCAGGATGAATTGAACCTAGGCAGACTCCAGGGCCTCAGAAACAATTTATTGATTTGGCATGAGTTTAGTGCCAGCCTCACAGGAAGCCCTGGCACCAAAACTGCCTGTTGTTTGAACACAATGAAATGTCTTTGGTCGAGGTGCATATGTATGTGTAACCATACTGACACATAGAACTGTCAGCTTTTATTTTCCCTCTCCTGGTCGTGAACACAGAGGTATGTCTCTGCCAGATCACAGTGACTCTTCTAACTCTTCCCTTAAAATATCTCATCAAAAACCAAAGCATATGAATAAATATAAATTAGTTAATTAGTCTATCCTCATTAGGCTGAAATTAGACAACAATGTCACACTGGAGGAACAAAAGGGAACCCAGTCTTCCATCTAGAATCCTTTTTCTAAGAAAGCCCCATTTAGAGCTCTGAACTATGGTTCTCTGGGACTCTGGGACTCCAAAGTCTCTGGTTTTTCTTTGGTTTGCTTAAAGTCACATGTGACTATTTAACCCCAGAAATCAGGCTTCTAAGCAGGGAGGTAAAAAATTTCCTTTTATTGGTTGCCAAGGTTGGCCTGGCTGGGAGGGGCAAATGAGATTTTTCTAGAAGTCTGGAGCAAATAAATGTGTATCCTTGCTGGCTGTGGTCAGCCTTGGTCCCAGTACTTACCACGAAAGTGTATTGCTGGTGGGAATTTGTCATGAACTCTTCGTTGCATTCCCCAATGCACAGGCGTACAGGCCCAGATGTAGCGCCCATAGGAGCATGGCCCATCTCACAGACGATCCTGAGAAGACAGCACACCTTCCAGTGAGAGACTTGACAAGGCCACAATCGCTACTCATTTGCTCAGCAGCGAGTGACCCTTGTCAAATCAGTGATCATTGTCTTGCTTTAGGGCTAGACCATGGTTCAGTTTAGTACCCATGTGACCATTGGTATAGTTCTGGCTGCCTGGGCTTCATCTCATCTGCACAGTGAGAGGTTAGATGTGATTATATATAAAAAGCTGTGGGTGCTTCTGACATACCATGTAGCTTAATTCTACTACCATTCCCATGAGCATCTAGTGCGGGGTCTCACCATGGATCATTTCTAGGATTGGTGGAATAAATGATGGAGGGGCAGTACTTAGTAGGTGTTTTCTTCTCTGCAGCAAGCCAACAACATAGCAGCTCTCCCTAAGAGCACAAGTGAGTGATTATTTGTCACACTGGCTGATTCGGCTGTAGTCTCTTTCCTGCAGTGAGTTTTCAGTGGGGCTAGATACTCTGGTGAGATAATGTGAGCAGCCAGACAGCATCTCCCAGCACAATGGCAGAAGTGCAGGCTCCTGGAAGTGGGTAAAACGGTGGTGGTGGCTGAGTCCATTAGGTGCCAAGGAACACTTAATCAAAGCTGAACATACTTAGTGGGTGACATAGCTTTGGTTAGAAGTCACATCTCACACTGGCAGGTGGGCTGGAGGAAGATGTTCTGTGCTTTCACTGCAGGTCAGATCAATACCCCCTGGTGATTTCCCTGGCTCCTGAGATAAGTTACAGAACATTTAAACACTGGCCCCTTAAGTCACAATGCCTTACACAAAGGGTGGGTTGCAGGGGATGGGTAGGATTGAGGAAATTAGACTTTGGGGAAGGAGCCCTTGCCTGGAATACTGGGTCTGGGGTAGGCAGGAGAGGGTCCTACTAGTCTCAGCAAATAGGAGGCCAGGAAAGGAGGAAAGAAAGCCTCTTCTTGCCTCCTGACTCCATTTCAGATCTGAAGAGCAGTGTCTGTGCTAAGCTTGCTGAGTGGGGAGTCAGGAAAACAAATTCCCTCCTCATTAATCTCCTGTATTATCCTGGCACAGTGGGAAGACCTGTGTTTAACAGAGCAATGCTTATCTGAATAGTTTCTCTAGGAAAGAAGGTAACTAAACATTGACTTCATTTCAATGTAATAAAACTTGCATGAAACAGATATTGTGTGTGTGTGTGTGCGCGCACACACACACACACACACACACGCGCGCACACACACACGCACGCACGCACCATGCCACTGGTCTCCATCTCCTCCATTACAGTCAATCCTCAATAAGTACTTTGACTCCTGGTAAATATTTACTTAGCATACAATAACCACCTTACTACATTTAGCACATAAGATGTAACAAGAAAGCACTTCATGGAAGAATGTTCTCCCTTTACTTTATCTATGAATAAGTAAATTCATTAAGAACACACATAAGCATGACAGTAACAATCAATTAGTGTTTAGCATGTTGTCCTCTAAAGCTCATTAGGAAGTATCTGAGAAGCTTAATCTAAGGTGCTGTGTTTGTTAATTTTCATGCTGCTACTTGCTTGGAGTAACAACTCAAACACTGTTTTTTTTTTGGTGCTGGACTTTGCTTTTGTTTTGGGGTCCCTGACTTTCTACAGTCACCCTTGGACCCCTGAAAGAACTCTGAAGAGTCAGCTAATTCTGGAGCACAGTGAATGTGGGGACTGGGAAGCAGATGAGCCTTTCCATTTCTTCTGATCAAGGGCTGGCTCTTTCCTCATTCATGGCCCGTGTACACTCTGTGGGAGAGATCCAGCGCAGGAGAAAATTACTGTGGAAAAAGGAGGTTGGAGGACATGTGAAAGTTACAGAAAGACTGAACTATTGCTCTTGGTCCTGTTTCAGAAAAAGGTCTAGCCTGCCCCTTTCAACAGTTCACGGAAGGCTTAGGAATGGGCTGGGCTTCGGAATGTCTTTCTAGTTTCTGAACATTTTCTTGCTTGGGGTTCATATTCTAAAAGCTAAGCTTTATGTGTGGAGCATCTGGGAGAAGAGTTACAGAAGAGACTGGACCAACCAGTGTCTGAACTGAGTACCTTCAGCTGGCTTTGAATGCCATGCTTGAATGGGCCTGAGACATGGTGTCCTCATGGAGCAGCTGAGCTCTGTCTCACCTGCAGTGTGACTAGGAAGGGGGTTGAGGTCAGCAGCAGGCTATGAACAAGGGTCTGCATGGCCACATCTGAGAAGTCAGACTGGAGTTTTCAGGAACTCAAGCAGCACTGTGAATGGAATGGAACTGTCTCCCTCTTTTCCTTTCAACCTGTGAGCCTGATAAGGCAGGGTGTAGAGGATGTGAGTGTCCATAGGATGCCTGTCTTAGCTCTGGGAGATGAGCTACAGAAGTAAGGGTGCTGCAGAAGTGAAAGGGCTATAGAGAAGAAGAAGGATTATGACACAGTTAGATATATAACTAACTTAATGACAAGAGCTATCGCTGCTGACAGTAGAGGCAGCTCACAAGATGGAACCCCATGACACATCAATCCTCTGCTCCAGGAAGGGAATTATTTCAGACTTACAGGCAACCAAGACTCAGGGATGCTACATGACTTATTTAGGGTCACATTCCAGCAAGTGGAGGAGTCCTGACTGAAAGACAGGTGAGCCTCAATCTGAAGTTTATGCCTTTGATCACTCCATTTTGTGGAAACTGGCCTATCTATCATCTGTCTATCTATCTGTCTATCTATCTATCTATCTATCTATCTATCTATCTATCTATCACCTATCTATCTATCTATCTATCATCAATCATCTATGTATCTATGTATGTATGTATGCATCTATCATCTATGTATCTATCATCAATGTATCTATCATCCATGTATCTATGATCTATCTATGTATCTATGTATGTATGTATGTATCTATCTATCTACCTACCTATCTATGTATCTATGTATGTATGTGTGTATGTATCTATGTATGTGTGTATCATCTATCTATCTATCTATCTATCTATCTATCTATCTATCTAGGACAAAGTCTCACTACATTTTCCAGGCTGGGCTCAAGTTTCTGGATTTAAGCAGTACTCCTGCTTCAGCTTCCATTTATTTATTTATTTATTTATTTATTTATTGGTTTTTTTGAGGCAGGGTTTCTCTGTAGCTTTGGAGCCTGTCCTGGAACTAGCTCTTGTAGACCAGGCTGGTCTCGAACTCACAGAGATCTGCCTGCCTCTGCCTCCCAAGTGCTGGGATTAAAGGCGTGCGCCACCACCGCCCGGCTATTTTATTTTATTTTATTTTTTTTTGGTGTGCTTCAGCTTCCTGAGTAGCTGGATCTACAGACATGTGTCATCACACTTGTTTCAGATGCTGGATTTAATAGAACGCTCTGGATTTTAAGGGAGGGACAGCACAGGCATTGTAGTAGTGATTGAAGATTTTGGAAAATATAGGAGACAACCCTACTCATTGCCTAAGGCTCTGAGAGTTAGTCACTTGACTCTTCTTCTTGGCTGTGGACCATTACAGGTAGTAGGTTATATATTACTGTCTCCCCAGGCCTCATTTATATTATCTGGTTTAGTTTCTGGGAGGCTACCCAATTTACATGTCCTCTGTGTTCCTGGTTGCTGCTAGGCTCCCTATGTATTATTAGGAGGCAATGACTTGCAATGATAAAATTTTACGCTTATAAAGTAAGTTGGGTCAAACAACTGTCCAGTTTCCATTCGAAGATTTGACTATTAATTGACAGAAGACTTCTGGAATCATATTAGTGCCACCGATAAATTTCCTAGTTGGGTGGTGAGTGTTGAAGATTCTATGGGTCAGATTACTCTTGCCTCTTGAGGACCTCTTGTAGGGGGGATTGTACACATCAGCTGTTCCTGTTTTACAGATGGACCATTTGAGGATCAGGGAGCAAACTGACTTGCCCAGTTCTATTCAGTTCATCAGCAACTGAAATATAGCTTGCCCCCCGCCCCCAGGCTCCTGGCACCAGCTCAGTTTTCTTATTATCCCTATACACACCATCTCCCACAGACATGGTGGCTCATTTCCTGAAGCACAGAGATCCGTACCCATACAGAGGTGTCTGAGTTCACAGATAGAGCAGATGAGACTGAGATCAGATGAGAGAGCAAGCCCTTGCCTCTGGAGATGCTGAGTTGCAACTTGAACCTGCATTCCACTGCCCAGAAAATGTCCTGTGGCTAAATCATCTTGCCCTCCACAGACATGTGGGGCATTGATTGCAGGACTAATCAGGGCCTTTAAACCAATATTAACCTAATTGTGGAATGATAGATAGCAGACACAAGCATATGGTGAATCATTACTGCACCCGCTAATCCAGCTTGTGCCCAGGATTCTGTACTGAGCCCAGTTAGCCAAATTCATCTCTTGCAGACATCTGTAATGATTGCACCTGCTGCTCGCTGCCTAGGATGGAGGCTTAATAACGCTAACAAACTCTGGAGCCTTAGGAGTGGTAATGAGCCTGGCACAGCCAGGAGCCAGGCTGTGACCAGTGAGGCTTGGGGTGGCGGGGTGTTGTTCACCGCTTCCTGCCTATTCTGTGGCTGAAACAAGGAAAGGGCAGTTTTCAAGGCCACCATTGACCTCACCATCCTGGAATGACTGGGTCCCCAAGGTTTCTTCACAACCACACTTCCAGTTCATCTGGGTACTTTTTCCCCACAGTCCTAGGTCAAGAATTATACTTGATTTCATAAACAGAACTAAAATTTCTGGCAGTCCATTAGATGAAGGTTGAAGACTAAATGGCTTGCTGAAGTCTCAGGGCTGGCTAGCAGAGGAGCCAATGTCCAAACGACTTAATTCAAGTCTTGGGAAAGTTTTGGGTCCAGCTGCCTCACAATTTACACTCCTCACCCTAACGTCTGAGTCTTCCAGCAAGAAGACCCCCACGTGAGAACATGGCAGATCTTGATGTCTAGGTGGATTTGGGGTCTGTGTGGCCAAGTGCCTGGTGCAGTTTGGCAGGGCACAGAACTCTAGACCATGTGACCATGAGGCTTCCTGCAGATAGTCCTGGTTCCCAAGCGTTTACATTCTAAAGTGGTTCCACAGACATACTGATGCCTTCCTGATGGCTTTTATATAGGCCTAGCCACCACTCCCTCAAAGTTCATTCCTTATGAGATAAGGTTGTCAGTGAAGAATCAGAGATCTAGAGAATCTAGAGAATTGGAGGGATCAGGCCAGCTCTATTTCCTCCTCACCTGTGGAGTTCTTACACAGCCCCAAGAGTCTGGGAATTTACCCCTTCTGCCACTGACTCTTCTCTTTGTTATGCTAGATTCTAATCAAGGCCCTTTGAGGTTCAGAGCCATGGGTGATGGATGAGTCATGGAGCATCCAGGCCATGCATGGTTGCTGTGTCAGGGAAACAGGCCCGAACTAGGAGTTAGGAGATTTAGGGCTGGATTCTCCCATAGCGGTTATTTCCCAAGGGACTGGAGAAAAATCATCTCATGTTTCCCCAACTTTTGCTCTTGTCAACTTTTACAGTAGTTTACTTGCCAGAGGTTAGAAAAATTTTAAAAAAGAGAGGGAGAGAGATAGTGAATGGGAAAGTGTCCTGTAAACTAAAAATTGCTGATAAAAAATAGTGATGTCATTTTTATGGCTGCCATTGAGAAGTGACTCTCAGAGAAGCCTGAGGCTGCAGAGGAGCAGGGTAGGGGAAAAAAGCCTGAGTTCAAGTCAAGCCCAAATCAGCTCCCGAAACACACAGAGCTGCACACTCAGTGGATGAAGGAGACCTTGACCTAATGTCACATGACAAACCCTGAAGAAGGATCTAGTGGTTCCCTTCCCTTGTTACTCCTTCTTCTCACCCCTAGATTCTGGCTTACTTCCTGCCCAACCCCCAGACCATAGTGTCGAGTGCCTAGGGAACACCCCACACTGGAACATATGTCACTCCTGAGCTCGTCCGCCTGCCCGCCACTACATGCCTATTTTCTAATTTCCAGCTGACATTTCCCTTAGTGAAATAAATGAATCTGCTCCAGTGGAGGCCCTGCTCGGATTAAGCTGCTGTCAGAGCCACATGCACCAAACAAATTGTTGCCCACAGCCTACCCTGTAGGATGCATTTCAATGGGGTTAGGCTAGGAGGAGGGGCCAAAAGGTCCCAGAGGGACTTTCAATGTTCATGCCAGCAGACAGGCAAAGACTAAATGAGGGGCAGCATGGGCACCTGGCACCCTGATGCCTGAGGAGACTAGGTTCAGGGAAGCAACTGGAACAAGGCCCTCTGAGGGCAGAACCACGCTGGAAAGACCTCTTGGGGCATGTTCCAGAGAAGGAAGTGATGTGAAAGGTGCTTTTGGGGAGCCCCAGAGAAGGAAGTACAAAGACTCTCCACTCTGAAGCTCACATGGACGAAGACCAGCAAGTGGACTCACTGCTCAGCGATGATGTATTCCCCTGGCAGGGGTGTGCAGGGTACTCCAGCCACCTGCACATGATGAGCGATCTCGGAGAAGTCCAAGCCCAGGTTCACTCCATGGATGGTCACACGAGTCCCTCCTTCAGGTGGTCCTGATACTGTCAAAATCTGTAGGAGGGAGGAGGGGTTAGCCATTGATGGAGTCATCCACAGGAATAGAACAAGGTTCCCATCACTCCCCAAGAGCCTATGATGAGGCTCCTAGAACATGAGTGTCTTCTTTTCAGCTTGGGCAGAATACTGATAACTTCTGTTTACACTACTTCCTTGGATCATTCACCCATCTATCCATCCACCCGCCCATGCACCCATTCATCCATCCATTAAAACAACAACAACAACAACAGAAAGTTCTGAACTCTTTTAAGAACATCCCTGATTTATGTCCATCTCTGTTTCACTAGCTGATCAAGTTACATAATCTCTGCGAACTTCAGCTCTTTTTTTGTGAAGAGAATATTACCATATTTACCAAGCTTTAGTGAGCATGGAAAACCCAAACAGCATTAGTTCTTGAAGTTTTGTGTGCACTAGGAGGTTTGCAACTATGACACTGTTGTTATTGCTACTTCTGTGCTAGACCCTGAAGGATACAATGGTGAACACAGTGCAGATTTGTCCTCAGGGAACTTATAGTCAGGAAGGAAATGATAGCAAAGACTAAAGAATAGTTCTAGTCTGGGGTCTGCAGTGGGCAGACAGATACAGGGAAAGCAGTGGGCATTTGGAGCAGGTGGGGACTGGATGGCTGAGGAGAACATCACAGATTCAGAGTGCTTACCATAGTTTCTCACAATACATGTTAGAGCCAAGAAGTGACTTTAGATTTTACAAACCTTTGCTGGCTTCCTGCTAGCAAGTATCATTTATTTATTTATTCATTCCTTAATTTCAGTTGCCAAATGATGATTTATCTCATTTTGCTTTAACCCAAAAAGAAAGGAGTGGCAGAATCAGAACACCAAAGTATACACTTCTCTGGAATCTAGTAAATCCTATTGAATATGTTCATGCTTTGAAGTCTGCAATTACCTGAAGTGGGAAGTAATTAGCGAATCATGATCCTGCATGAACTCAGTTCCAAGGGACAGAGGAATTCATAATTGTCAACCTTGGATCTTATTCTAAGATTGTCATTTTATAGAGAGAAGAATGAGTGCTAGAGATGTTCGATGGATCCAAAATCTCAGGCAACTTTACGCAGCAATAAAAGGGTGACTGTTTCCACCGCATCATAAGAAAGGCAAGACTTGATTGAGACCAATAGTCCACTATGACCCCAGGATGGTTCCCCTGGGCAGAGACACACTGCCTTTGTGTTCTTGGACATGAATAGTTTCCTTAAGACTGTACATGCTGGTTGTCTTAGTTGGGATTTTTATTGCTGTGATGAAACACCATGACCAAAAGCAAGTTGGGGAGGAAAGGGTTTATTTTGATCACAGTTCTACATTCATCAAAAACAGTGAGGGTAGGAACTCAAACAGTGCAGCAACCTGGAGGCAGGAGCTGATGCAGAGGCCATGGAGCCGAGCTGCTTCCTGGCTTGTTCCTCATGGCTTGCTTAGCCTACTTTCTTATAGAACTCAGGACCACCAGCCATAATGGACTGGACCCTCTCCTATCAACCACTAATTAAGAAAATGTCTTATAGACTTGCCTACAACACAATCTTACGGGGGTACTTTCTCAATTGAGGCTCTCTCTTTTCAGATGACTTTACCTTATATCAAGTTGACATAAAATCATCCAGCACAATTGACTTCTGTTAGGACTGAAACAGCAGCCATTATGGGTGATGATATGGGATGCCCTTCTGTATGCTGTGAATATGTCTTATTATTCACATTTATTAATAAAGAAGCTGATTTGGCCAGGCAGAGATGGTGCACATGTTTAATCCTAGCATTCAGGAGAGAGAGACAGGTGACTCTTTGTGAGTTCGAGGCCAGCCTGGTCTATACAGTGAGTTCCAGAACAGCTAGGGATGTTACACAAAGAAACCCTGTCTTGAAGGAAAAAAAACTGATTTGGCCCATAGTCAGGCAGAATATAGCTAGGCAATCCAAGCAGAGAGACAAGGAATAAAAGGGTGGAGTCAGGGAAGATGCCAACAGCCACTGGAAAAGCAAGACATGAGGTAACACAACAGCCACATGGTAAAATATAGAATAATAGAAATGGGTTAATTTAACTTGTAAGAGCTAGTTAATAATAAGCCTGAGCTAATAGACTAAACAGTTGTAATTAATATTAAGCCTCAGTGTGGTTATTCAGGAACTGGTGGGCAGGAGAGAAACCTTCAGTTACAGGGTGAGTCTAGGTGGAAAGGGCAATCCTCCTCTGGTGATGGAGATACTGAGTCCTGTCACCCTTTCAGACATGGACCCCATGGCCTAGCCAGCAAGTAAGAGATGGAGTGTGGGTGGGGATAGCTCTCCCTACCCCGTTACTGGTGGCATGCTAATCAGACTTTGCCTTAGTGTTGTAAGGTGCCAAGCTAGAATTGATTGAGTCTGCTGACTTCCCTTACATATCTATGCGCCTTCAATGGTACTGCTTCTTGAATCTTGCCTGCAAGGCCCCGAGAACACTGTTCTGGAAACTGATTTTGCTCACTGTCATCTTTTTTTTTTTTTTTTTTTCCTGTGGAAGGTGATTTTATTGCCTTGTTTGCATGTTTCTGTTTTTTTTTTTATTTTTTTATTTTTTTTATTTATTTATTTATTAAGGATTTCTGCCTCGTCCCCACAACCGCTTCCCATTTCCCTCCCCCTCCCCCGATCAAGTCCCCCCCCCCCATCTGCTCGAAGAGCAATCAGAAGGAGACGGAGCACGAGCAAGGAACTCAGGACCACGAGGGGTGCACCCACACACTAAGACAATGGGGATGTTCTATTGGGATCTCACCAAGGCCAGCTGGCCTAGGTCTGAAAAAGCATGGGATAAATCCGGACTAGCTGAACATAGCGGACAATGAGGAATACTGAGAATTCAAGAACAATTGCAGTGGGTTTTTGATCCTACTGCACGTACTGGCTCACTGTCATCTTGTCTGTAACTCTGAATCCCTTTTCTTGGAATAAAATATTCCACCTTATAAACAAAACTAAACACATCAAGTAGATCATGGGAGAAATCACCAAGGAAACTCACGGGCATATCGATGTGTTGGGGGAGGTAAAAGAAGGAAGGACAGTGTGGAGGCTTGCAGGAGTAGGAGCCTCTGTGGTCCTTTCACTCTTGGAAACGAAAATGTCCAAGAACAGTGTGCTCTGCATATTCTGCTTGGCCCTGGCACAGTTTTTCAGAGGCCAAGGATCCTGCCTTGAGACAGACCCTTGTCATGAGAGGTGGGGGAAGGAGCTGCTTCTACCTTTGCAGGAGAGCATCAATAGGAGAACACACATTTTAGCTCCTGGTTCTGTTGGACCCATTTGCATTGGGTTTCCCTGTGTTCCACCCACCTCCACCCCAACCCCAGCACCTACATGGCAGGAATCCATCTACTTAACGGGTTGGACAGAACCATGCTGGTCGTTTCCTTTCCTTGGTTTCTTTCCTCCCACTTTTATTTTTTTAAAAACATATACTCTTTTGCTCACTGCAGTTAATTACAACCTTTCAGAAAAAAAAAAACTCGTGAAATGAAATCTTTCTGGAAAGCCTAAAAATACTCTCATCTTGCAGGTAGCATATGCATGCTCTGCCTCGGAAAGGTTTCCTAGTGCAGCTCCCCTGTTGTTCAGCCGTGACAGCAGCTTCTTCCAACATGGGGCGTTAGACACAGGTACAGGTACTGGGCTGCAGGGTCAGGCTGTTAGCACAGAGCTGCGCAGAAGCATAAATCAGCATAGAGAAGACGTTTGGGTAAATTATAAGCAAGTGTTGTAATCTTGGCATGAAGGTATATGTCAAAGATACGTGTGAGTCCAGCTATCTGCTGTTGGTGTACAAATTGGAACCTTCTCTGATTATCAGACCAGATCCTCAGGCTTAGGAAATGCCGAGGAAACTGGGTCTTTGGGAGAGTATTATTTTAAGCCTTTTTTTTAAAAGTAACTTTTTTCCCATTTATTTACATACCAACCAGTTTCCCTCCCTTCTCTGCTTCAGTCCCTTCCCCTTTCCCACTGACCCCCTCCTTATCCACTCCTCCTCCATCTCCATTCAGAAGGGAATGGGCCTCTGGTTTCTGCACAAAGCATGGTGCCTCAAATTGAAGCAGGGCAGAGCTCCTCCCCAGGAAATCTATTGAACTTGAGGCCAGGTAATCCAGCATGAGAAACAAGTTACCAAAAGCAAATTAAGCACCAGGGAGAGGTCCTGCTCTCACCGTTAGAAGCCTTACTAAGAGACCAAGTTACACTCACATTGTCACACACATGCAGAGGGCCTCGGTCGAGCCCATTCAGGCTCCCTGACTGTAGATAACAAGGAGGTCCCAAAGAGGGATGCATGGATTTCCCAGGGAAGGGGAAGTAGAAAAGATCTCCTGGATAAACTGGGGGTGGGAGTTGGGGGGATGAAGGGATAGAAACTAGAGGGAGTGGGTTGGGTGGGCTGAGAGTCTTTTATTTATTTATTTATTTTTATTTTTTTTGTTTTTTGAGACAGGGTTTCTCTGTGGTTTTGGAGCCTGTCCTGGAACTAGCTCTTGTAGACCAGGCTGGTCTCGAACTCACAGAGATCTGCCTGCCTCTGCCTCCCAAGTGCTGGGATTAAAGGCGTGCGCCACCACCGCCCGGCCGAGAGTCTTTTTTTTAATGGCCTATCTCTCAAATCGTCATCACTCGGGATATGTGGCCCAATAGTTGACAGTAAAGAACAGCTAAGCAGTACCCAGTCTTGAGCTTAAAGAAATACATAGATTACAGTTTTGATTAAAAAAAAATTACTTGGAAAAGTTTGGATTTCCAAAATATAGATGAGTATCTGTGATCATCTGACTTGCAGAAGGGTTTCCAAGGTGCCCACTACTGATGACTTCCAAATCTCTGTTGTCAGCTCATACCTCTCTCCTGAGCTTCATAGCCATATATCCAACTGCTACAGAACATCTCCACTTCCACCTGAATGTCTACCAGGTGCCTCAGGTTTCATAATAT